TCCCCTCGCTTCTTGCTGCTCAGGAAACCATGTAGATTTAAATTCACAGGAGTCTGCTATAGAAAAATTACACAAAGAACCTACACAATTGCCTTATGATGCCATGGCGATCAGTACCTACATTTCAAAAATATGTTAACTAAAATGTTTTAGTTAACACGTTTTAATGGAAATACAAGTAAATGCTTGCATCTTATTTGAATAGATAGAAATAAGAACTAGGAGAAATATTCAGAGATCTATGTACCTTTTTATCTGGATCTTTATCAAACAATAAACAGTAAGCAAATAAATATTTGCTTTGGATATAATTTAGAGGTTACTTTGGGTAGAAATTAAAGGTTTTGCAGGTTTTGAGCTGGAAGAAATAATCCTAATAAAATTATTTTTTACATTGGCAGAGGAAGATAAACCACATAGTTTATTAAGTAGCGAGGGCAGGAAGAGCCATACTGCTGAGATTGAACCATCAGTGTGGAGCGTAATGCGCAGACTCTGAGCTAAGCACCTGCATAGACAGATTTCTGCACAAGCTCAGAGTTTTTCAGAGTTCAGCATGCAGCACCCGACCTTTCTGGATTATTTTCTCCCATGCTGCTGCTGCCATGATCCATCTGTAGTCATGCAGAATCTGCACCGCTGCACGGCAGGTGGGAGGAATGACCAAACAGGATGCTGCAGCACGACCGATACCGCTCAGCAGATTACAACACAATGAATAATCTTAAACGTCTGAGAGATCACCCGCTAACGTTTTTATTTACTGATGAAAACTCACAGCCATGACTCGTCATGTTTTTTCACCAAAGATCCATGTTTAGCTCGTCAGTTCTCGCTATCGTCGTGACAAAAAAGGAGCATCAACAAAATAATTTTTTCATCAATGAAACCAACACTGCAGTCAAAGCCTTCTCCAGATGCCAGACAGACCATTACACGTCCTTCCTGCCTACAGCTGATACAACTTAGACAAACTTTATTTGTATGTTTCGTTCAGTACTGCTCTCAAGATATATATTTCCATTTTCTGAAGTGCTGCAGTGATAAAATGTAAACATGGTGATAAAATGTAAACATAAACTGAGAGATGATTAACAGTTTTTCCAACATTCAGCACTTTTTTCCCTCCATTTTCAGAAATGGGAAGTAACGAAGTACAAATACTTCGTTACTGTACTCAGGTAGATTTTTCTGATATTTTTACTTTACTTTACTACTTATTTTTATGGCGACTTTTTACTTCTACTCCTTACATTTTTACACAAATATCTGTACTTTCTACTCCTTACATTTAAAAAATTGTCTCGTTACTTTAGTTTTGAATCATTTCAATGGAGTTACCGTTATTATTTTTCACATCATCAATACCAAATTCAATCTAATTGGATGGGAATCTACGTTGCATTTGACGCACCACTACAAGATGAATCGACAGATTCGGCGGGATTCATTGGCGGCAAATCATTGCAGCTTGGTGGCGGTGGCGTTAGCATAGTAGCATGGACGACGAGATGATTGAAAAGGAACACAACGGAGATCTAGTCCTATTGGCAGACATCCATTTAAAATGTAGGCAACGGCATGAAAAAAGTGGTTTCTACTTTTACTTTTATACTTAAAGTAAATTTACAAGCCTGTACTTTGTTACTTTTACTTGAGTAAAGAAGTTTAATCAGTACTTCCACTTTTACCAGAGTATTTTTTAACACAAGTATCTGTACTTTTACTCAAGTACGGAAAGTGAGTACTTTTGCCATCTCTGTCCGATTTATGTCCCAACATTATGTTTTATGTCCCAACATTATGCCTCCCCCCTTCTACCATTATGCCTCCCTCCATGTTTATTTCTGAATGTTGACTTTGCTCTTTAATGTCCTCTGGGCCAACATCTGTTTGAAGGGTGATGTTTGGTTTCAGGTCATAGCCTTCACCTTAGATTTCAGTTACAGCTAGAGTTGGACAGGGGGCGCTAAAGGAGCAAAAACCACTCCAAGTCCCCTGGAGTTGAACTTGCCCTAATCACTTGGTCCCTGCCCCCAGGCCCCCTCCCACACGGTTTGGATCAAAGATCAGGAAGATATTTATTTATTCATCATTGTTAAAATATTTAAAGATGGGATTAAACTGCTTGTTTTTCTGTAACATAACTAACTCAAGAACATAAAGTAAACTCCAAAGCATGTCTAAATACATAGTTGAACATAGTAAACCTTTAAAAAGATTAGAATTCCCTTAAAAGGTGAAATAAACCTGATAAATATGACTAATATGCCTTCATTAGACAACAAAAACCGTTGTTACTGCAGATTATTTTCTTCTGGCCACAATTTTTTATCTAAAAGATAAAGCAATGTTTCCCACAGACTACACCAATTCATCACCTCTGCTGCTGAAGTTGAAGACATTAAAGCACAGCAAGACGTGCAACTTTTGTTTCCTCCTGCAAAAAAGCTCTCACGAGGCGCCCCACCCATCCTCTTTTTGGTTTGTCTCTGTCTGAATCAAGGGTTTCACTAAAACTCTGCTGCTGTCAAGCATTCAGGGCCCCTAGTGAGAAGTGTAACCTACATAAATAAAGCCCAGATTATATCGTTCAGCTTAGTTTTCCTCCAGAGTGTTATTACAGTGCAGTAAATCATTGCTGTGCATAAGGCTCAATCTAAACAGCTAGAAACAAGACTTATCTGTTCTGGGTTCCTATAAAGTCAACACATTATTACGCCTTTCTGTTGCTGTGTTTCTCATGGTATTTTGATGTTACTGTAATTGTCTACTGCTGTTGCAAAAGTGTGTAAGTCTAGTTATAAGGAAACCTTGCAGATGCAACCTCATTGCTTAGTTCACCATATATTGCACACAGTAAGTAAATAAATCAGCGAGTGACAGCCTTTATTGCTGTGGTTGCTTTGATGACACCATCAAACTCGGCTCCTTCTGTCGATGTTTGGCTTCCATATGGAAGTCAGTTATCGTTTGGGAAATAAAACGTTGAAAAATATCTGATGTTAATAATGAGCAAATTTAATGAGGTGAAATTAATTAATGAAATAATGTGTAGTAACTGCAAACACATTCTGTCACATTATTACTTCATATTTTCCTCTCTAATTGGCTCTAAATCAAGTCATTATAAATGATGGGTAACTGAGTGTTTTGCTGAACTGGGCAGACCCTATAAACTTCTGCATGGGGTATTCAAAAAGCTTAAATGGTAAAACCTTTCATTTCTCTTGTCATGAAAAAGGTTGAAAAACACAAAATCTAAAAAAAATAAATAAAAATAAAGTAAATATGGAACTCTTTATTACATAAAGGTTAAAAAAAACAATCCAGTAGTCTGTGTTTCTAAGTTTTAAGACGTTTCTCATCCAGGAAGCTTTTTCAATTAAAAATTTTAAGAAATAGCGTTGAGTTCCAGGCTTTATAGCCAATCAGCAGGGTCCGAATAAAGAAAACCAACAACCAGTTTATTTAACACTGAAATAAATGAGGCGTTTATGTATGTTATAAACTTTTTAAATAAAAATATATATAAAAAATAGAAGATTTTTTTTACATTTAAAAATGTAAAGTGTTTATTAAGTAAAGAACAACCATCGTTTATTAGCCTCGTGAGACCATCCTGACCTCGCGAGCTTTCAAGGTTTCACTCGCTAATCAGTCTGGAGACTCTCCGTTGAAGAAAATTTGGAGCCGTTCACCAAACGAACGTCCAATCAGCGTTGGCTTTGAGGCGGGTTGAGGTGTGACGCAACGAGAAGCGTGACAGTTCAGTCTAAAGAACATGGCGGCTTCAGCCGATGAAACTAGCGTTAGCGTGGCTATCGAGCAAGTTTTATCGGAATTACAGAGTATTTCTTCACTGAAAGAAGAGCAAAACTGCTCTGGAGGCTTTTCTCAGAGGAAAAGATGTTTTTGCTCTTCTCCCGACTGGTTTCGGCAAGAGTTTGATCTCTCAATTGGCTCCTCTTCGTCGTCGCTCTGTTAGTACGTCATATGCTTCGTTGATCTGATTGGTTTATTTGGCCCGTCTATCACCAACATAGGCCAATCAGCTAACCAGTATTTTCGCCCCTTCCCAAAATTACTTCAACGGAAGGTTTCCAGATGGATATGCGGAGCAAATCCATCTGGCGGAGTCAGGTTAATCGTTTATTGCTTCACTGTACTTTAGAAACTGTTGTCAAACCACATGCGGCCATTTATAAATGTTTTAAATGAGGTTGGGTCTGGATTAGCCAGCAGGTGGGTCTGGATCCAGACCGCGGTCCGCTAATCCGTGACCTCTGCTTTATAGGGTGGAGCAAAAAACAAAGCCTATTTTTGGCTTAGAAATCATGCAAATTGACCGAATGAACGGGTCCACCCCTTTGGAATGGGGGTCCTTCATCTGGTTGAATTTGCATGTTTTCTAAACATAAACAAGGCTTTGTTGGGCTACTGTATAAAACCTTGAAATCAACGCTATTGTTGGCATTTAGAGCTGAGAAAGTTTCCTGGATGGGAAACGAAATGTCTTCAAACTTGGAGACAAAGTTCAGTGGATTGTTTTTTTTTTTTTAACTTTTTTGGATTGACTGTGAGCTGGCTGACTGAGAGTCTTCACCAGCACGGAACTCTTTACTTCATTTCTACTTTCGTTAGCATGTCTTCAACTTTATTCCCACATTTCTTGAAAGCAGCACCAGTTTTCTTGGTTTCTTTTTCCTCGCCTCAGGCGCTTTTTGGCAGTCTGTCTTTGCAGGGTTCCGCGCGTTTGTGCGCGTGGAGCGAAGCATGCTGTGAACGCGCGTGCGCGCGCGTCAGAGGGGGTGGCGGCCCGTTCCTGGAAGAGCCCGGCCTGCCTGCAGAGTCACTCACATTCCTGGCTGGGATTCACTGACTGAGCCAGACACTGAGAGAGAGGGAGGGAGGGAGGGGCGCGTCAAAGAGAGAGCTAGACGGAGCGCGAGGCAGGCAGGCAGGGAGCGCGCGCGCGCACGGGCACGGCAGGCTGCCTCTCAGACCTCATCTCCATCCAGTCAGATTGAACTGCGGGGGCAGAGCGAGCGGATCTCTGCGCTCCTAGACAGCGGAAACAAACCTCCAGCTTAGAAGGATTTCTCTCGCCGAGGTTTTTTTGTTTTTCTCCCACTTTGCTTTGGAACTTTTAGGAGATTTCCACGCCGCTCTTCCTGTGGGTCTGTTGGAAATGGACAGTGTGAGCCCTGCTGCGCGGAGCGTCTGTTCGAAGAGCAGGAATAAAGTGTAGAAAGTCCGCTCGGCTCTTTAGAAACGAGCCTCTCTGGATGTTTGATGAAGCGCTTCGCAGGTTTCTTCAGTTCTGGGACTCTGTGGATTTACCAGCTCTGGGAACGGATTGATCCTTGTGATTCCCGGATTTACGCTTCCAAGTTTGGAGGAAAAACATGGAGACTGTGAGTCGGCAGAGCTTCCAGCCTCATCCGGGACTGCAACAAACTCTGAAGCAGTTCCACCTCAGCGCTATTAACTCCCTGGGCGGCCCGGCGGCTTTCTCTGCTCGGTGGCAGCATGAGCTCCTCTTCAAGAAGGAGGGGAAGGAGCCCGAACCGGTCCTGCAGCATTTGCCGCCGCCCGTGATGCCCGGCCCGCTGTTCATCCCGTCAGACCGCTCCACGGAGAGGTGCGAGACGGTGCTGGAGGGGGAGACCATCTCCTGCTTCGTGGTCGGCGGGGAGAAGCGCCTGTGCCTGCCGCAGATCCTCAACACGGTGCTGCGGGACTTCTCCCTGCAGCAGATCAACTCCGTGTGCGACGAGCTGCACATCTACTGCTCCCGCTGCACGGCGGACCAGCTGGACATCCTCAAAGTCATGGGGATCCTGCCCTTCTCCGCGCCCTCCTGCGGCCTCATCACCAAAACGGACGCCGAGCGGCTCTGCAACGCCCTGATCTACGGAGGCGCATACCCGCCGCGCTACAAGAAGGAGCTGGGCACCGGCTCCCTGGAGCTGCAGCTCACCGACAGGAGCTTCAAGATCTACCACGAGTGCTTCGGCAAGTGCAAGGGCTTGTTCGTCCCGGAGCTGTACAGCAGCCCCAACGCAGCGTGCATCCAGTGCATGGACTGCAGACTCATGTACCCGACGCACAAGTTCGTGGTGCACAGCCACAAGGCGCAGGAAAACAGGACTTGCCACTGGGGCTTCGACTCTGCAAACTGGAGGGCGTACATCCTCCTGGGTCAGGATTACACGGGCAAAGAGGAGAAGGCGCGCCTGGAGCAGCTTCTGGACGAGATCAAGGAGAAATTTGACTTCGCCAACAAGTACAAGAGGAAAGCTTCATCCAGGGTGAGTTCATAGGATGCTTTGCACCAAAACTTCTCTGTTCAATTGCTGCTAAGCTGGAGCTGAAGATGCTCTGCAGCTCCTCCAGCTGCAGGACCACAGGAAGCTTCTGTCTCAGCCAAAGAAAAAGTTTCCTGTTTGATAAGGGCTTCCAGACCCCCCCTCACTATTTGGCCACCTTTGTCATATGGACACTAATTAGGCCTCATCTAATGCTGACAACTAAACGCCTCTGGTGGCAATAAAGTCATTACTGGGATGGTGAAACTCCTCTCAGAGCCTCCTTTATAGGTCTGTACAGTAAATGCTGCCTAATCTAGCAACAAATGGCTCAGTGGGGGGGGGGCGTAAACAATGAGTAGGAGGGAACTGAACCTGGAAAGTGGTCTGTTTCTCCTTCCCAGGTGTAATAACAGGGTTACAACATGAGCCTCACATCATTTCAACTGAAGGTCTGGCTGTAGCTCCGCTTATGGAGACGAAGTGAACCTTTCTAGGTGGGATCTATCTAGATTTCCCACTTATTTGCTTGCATTTGTGTGTTTTTTTTTGTCTCTGACTTTAAAAATTGAGGTTATTTGACACTGAGAAGGAAACTGGATGGAAAGAAAAATGTGCATCTAAGTTAAGTCATTATTTCTGAATATAAGTGAATTCTTTCTTGAATTGAGCAGATAAGTGAGACACTTTACTAATGGAATAAGACAATTTACACTTAGAATAAGAAACAACTGCAGTCTTTTATTTCATGTGCATAAAATCGAATTTTCTCATTTTAAGAGTAAAAAATCCATTCCATTGGCAGATCATCTTATTTTCCTACTCAAATTAAGAGTAAATACACTTTTTTTTCTGAACAATTTTGCACAATGGAAAAAATAGAAATCTAGATAAGTATTTTTTTCTTAGAATAAGTGCATTTGTTCTTGGATTGAGGTAAAAGAGACATTTTTGCCAATGGAACAAGATAATTTAAACTTAAAAAAAGAAAACACAATAGCATTGTTTTATTTTAAGTGTATATTATCTAATTATCTTATTTTAAGAGTAAAAATATTAATTCTCTTGGCAAACTATCTCATTAACCTTATCAAAATATGGGTAAATATACTTAATTTTAGATATTATTAATTATTTCTAAATAGTTTTTCGAGTGCAGTGCATCTGCACTGGAAAAACCATCTAAAAATAAGTAAAAATTTCTTAAATTAGGTGTATTTAACCTTAATTTGAGTAGGTAAATGAGATAGTTTTGCCAATGGAATTAGTATTTTTTCTCTTAAAATAAGATAATTAGATAATATGCATTTGAAATAAGACAATGTAATTGTTTTTTTCTTACTTTAAGCGTAAATTGTCTTGTTCCATTGGCAAAATGTCTCTTTTACCTCCTCAATCAGAGAACAAATGCACTTATTCTAAGAAAAAATGACTTATCTAGATTTAGATTTTTTTTCCCAGTGAAGACCAGTTTGCCACGACTGGTTGGCTGTTTTAATCCCCCCCCCCCCCCATCAGTAGCACAGGGCCATTTGCATGAACTGTTTGACATCATGGAGCTGATGAAGCAGGATTTAGAGGTATTGTGGGGGAAACATAATGCGATCCCAACAAAGGGGAGCATTCAGTAAACAGATCAGACCACCCATCCCCACCCTCTCTACTCCACCTTCTGTTTGGCTTTCCCTCCCCGTCGACGCACCTGATTGAAGTTGTGCTGGGCTCCTTGTTGACGGAGCTCAGAGTGTTTACAAGCAGCAGCTCTCCTCCACCCAGAAGAAAGAGGAATCAGTGAAAGCCCTTGAAATCCAGGAGAGTGCCAGAGTCCTGCAATGCGTGTTGAATACGGCTCTATTGGCAAACACGCTTGCATTCAGGCTGGAGTGGGCACAACACGAAGGCCTCCACTCATGGCAGCGGGGGGGAGGGCGGCCGGGTATCTTGTGTTATGCAGAAGTTCAGACGAAGGGGTGGTGACCCTGTTTGAGATTCCTCTATTTGCTTTTTCTAATCCCACTCCTCATTTCCCTCCTGTTTCATAAACAACTTTGGAAGGAGTGGTTGCTGCCTGAAGCATCAGCAGCGCAGTTCCCCCGTTTCTGTCCAAACTTCTCACCTCACACCTGTGGATGCGGCGGGACAGAGGTGCCGGAGCACATCTGCGAGCCTTGAGAGACGAGGCCAGGGTGTCAGGAGCTCAGCATCCGCTGCCAATATTAAGCAGGCTGTTACAGAAGTGTGAGCAGCAGTCTCGTACACAGACAGACGCAGGAAGTGATATTGCCACACTTCCCTCCTTGCAGACGCTCTTTTGAAAGCTTCATTTTAAGGTGCGCCCATGTCTGAATCACACGGGGTTCGTCTTGTTTTCTGCAGCCGTTCTCTCAAACCGAGGGAGACTTTGACTTTTCATGCTTTGCTGCTAAACAGCAGCGAGCTGCGTGTGCAGAGGGACGGTGGGAAGGTGGAAGGGGTTCTGCTGGGTGTGGAACTCTGATGCCAGGCCTTGGCTGTGAGTCCTGTCGCTTTCTGGCTGCTGCACGTGTGGGTGGTGCGCATAATCAGTGGCTTTCCGCATCAGGATGTTTAGATAAGAATTGTGGCTGCAGATTTAGCGTGTTTCTAAGTTTATAATTCGCCCTCAAGATGGAAGTGATTTCTCTGCAGGCTGACTGTTTGGAGGAGATAGGAGAGTGCAGAGGAGGCCCTTTCTGCAGACGGCTGGGCTCTGTTTGAATCCTGTGCAGACTTAGTTTATGTTTTAAACACTGCCTTCAGTTCTGCACACAGACAACACCTGTCTGTGCTTACATTCCTCACCCACCGCGCCCTCTGAGCTGCACAGACTGTCGGAGCAAAACCCAAGACTGGACGACTGACGCCTCTCCAGCCAAGCATGACTCTGCTGCAAACATGAAGGGAAATGAGGTTTCCTGCTTATGTAACGAGGCCCGTTTTTCATCAGAAGATGTGAAACGTGATCGGCGGTGGGATTAAAAGTGGGCCCAGGAACCTGGCGAGTTTGGCGGCTGGTTCTGCGTGTCTCGGCGTGTTTGTCCTGGACGTCGCTGTGAGAAAAGAAGGCCTGAAACTGAAGCCGACTCATGCGGTCGTATCGAGCTGTTATCTCCTCCAAATAGATGCTGTTTGTGGTCGATGCATTTTAGTCCACAGCTGCGGAGACGCTTTTAACCATTCAGATGCTCAAACTTCCAGTTTTTACCTCCAGAAGCGCTCCCCCACCCCCCACCCCCGGCTACAGCTCAGGATATCTGGCCTCCAGCTGAAGGGGCCGCTTGTTTCAGGCGGAGGAGGGGTTTGTGGTGGTTTGGGGCTCAGAGGAAGTGAACTCCCAGTGGGGGTAGAAGGCCATGTCCTGTTTCTTATGCGAGGCGCAGAGCTGGAAAAAAGCTAGCTGACTGCCAGCCATGTGCGCCCAGAGGACGGGACCACAGCTGGGAACGCAGCTCTTCAGGATGGTTCTCAGGAATCTGCATGTGGTTCTGACTGCGCGGGGGTGAAGATTTTCACGCAGGGTTTTCTGCTTTTGACCCAGCTGACAGAGCTAAGCTTTGTTCGTCTTTTTGTTCCCAAGACCTCACTGTCTTTATTTGGAGTATTTAAAATATAACTTAAACATTTTTTTTTTGCAGCCTCCATCATCTGAACATAATTATGTGATTAGAAGGTTTCTCTATCTGGAAGGAAAATGGGTTTTACTGTTATTTTATAAGCAGTGGGGATCCTCTCCTTAACTCTGAGCTTTCTAAAGCTCTCCAGTTTCACTACAGATGGGAGGTTTGGTGCTCTGTTCACAAATGCCATCTAGTTTCCTAGTGACATGACAAAAAAAAAAAAAAAGATGGGACCAGTTCAACCAGCAGGTCCAACTTACGGAAGAGGATTAGGGCCACTGGAAAAAAAAAGTTAACTGATTTTTTAATTTTATTTCAGTTTAATATTAATCACTTTAAAAAAGTCAGAATTCTGAGAAAAAAGTCAGAATTCTGAGATTAAAGTAAGAATTCTGAGAAAAAAAGTCAGAATTCTGAGGAAAAAAGTCAGAATTCTGAGATTAAAGTCAGAATTCTGAGATTAAAGTAAAAATTCTGAGGAAAGAAGTCAGAATTCTGAGATTAAAGTCAGAATTCTGAAAAAAAGTCAGAATTCTGAGGAAAAAAGTCAGAATTCTGAGATTAATGTCAGAATTCTGAGATAAAAGTCAGAATTCTGAGATTAAAGTCAGAATTCTGAGGAAAGAAGTCAGAATTCTGAGATTAAAGTCAGAATTCTGAAAAAAAGTCAGAATTCTGACTTTTTTAAAGTGATTAAAGTCAGAATTCTGAGATTAATGTCAGAATTCTGAGAAAAAAGTCAGAATTCTGAGATTAAAGTCAGAATTCTGAGAAAAAAGTCAGAATTCTGAGGAAAAAAGTCAGAATTCTGAGATTAAAGTCAGAATTCTGAGATTAAAGTAAGAATTCTGAGAAAAAAGTCAGAATTCTGAGGAAAAAAGTCAGAATTCTGAGATTAATGTCAGAATTCTGAGATTAAAGTCAGAATTCTGAGATTAAAGTCAGAATTCTGAGAAAAAAGTCAGAATTCTGAGGAAAAAAAGTCAGAATTCTGAGATTAAAGTCAGAATTCTGAGATTAAAGTAAGAATTCTGAGAAAAAAGTCAGAGTTCTGAGGAAAAAAGTCAGAATTCTGAGATTAATGTCAGAATTCTGAGATAAAAGTCAGAATTCTGAGATTAAAGTCAGAATTCTGAGGAAAGAAGTCAGAATTCTGAGATTTAAGTCAGAATTCTGAAAAAAAGTCAGAATTCTGACTTTTTTAAAGTGATTAAAGTCAGAATTCTGAGATTAATGTCAGAATTCTGAGATTAATGTCAGAATTCTGAGATTAAAGTAAGAATTCTGAGAAAAAAGTCAGAATTCTGAGGAAAAAAGTCAGAATTCTGAGATTAATGTCAGAATTCTGAGATTAAAGTCAGAATTCTG